AACTCGGGGATGGGAGAGCTCCAAAGGCCGGGAAGCCCGCGGAAAGGGAGCGCGGCCGAGCGCCTCGCTGCCTGCCGAGCTCCGGCTCTGACCGCTGCCAGCCACGCCGCTCAGGCAGAGGCACGGATTTACTGAAGAAACCCTTCTGCTGTCGCGCTAATTAAGTCTTCCTGTAACTCATCTGTCACAACGCTATTTCAAATAGTCAAATTTTAACCATAATTACCAGCAGTTTACTGCGTGTGATCAATCAGCCACAGCAGAAGATCTGCTGCCCCACGGAGCGAAGCCGGCCCATGCGGGCGAAGACACCGCTGCCTGCAGGCTCCTGCCCCTCAGCCCCCAGGAAAGCCTTGGGACGGCTCTCTGGGTGCCAGCTCAGTGCCCAGACTCTCCAGGAAAGCCTTGGGATGGTTCCCTGGGTGCCAGCTGATCCCCTGGACTCTCTGGGAAAGCCTTGGGATGGCTCCCTGGGTGCCAGCTCAGCGCCTGGACTCTCTGGAAAAGCCTTGGGATGGCTCCCTGGGTGCCAGCTCAGCGCCTGGACTCTCTGGAAAAGCCTTGGGATGGCTCCCTGGGTGCCAGCTCAGCCCTGGGACTCTGGAAAAGCCTTGGGATGGTTCCCTGGGTGCCAGCTCAGCCCCTGGACTCTCTGGAAAAGCCTTGGGATGGCTCCCTGGGTGCCAGCTCAGCCCCTGGACTCTCTGGAAAAGCCTTGGGATGGCTCCCTGGGTGCCAGCTCAGCCCCTGGACTCTCTGGAAAAGCCTTGGGACGGCTCCCTGGGTGCCAGCTCAGCGCCCAGACTCTCTGGGAAAGCCTCAGGATGGCTCCCTGGGTGCCAGCTCATCCCTGGGACTCTCTGGAAAAGCCTTGGGATGGGTCCCTGTGTGCCAGCTCAGCCCCTGGACTCTCTGGAAAAGCCTTGGGATGGCTCCCTGGGTGCCAGCTCAGCCCTGGGACTCTGGAAAAGCCTTGGGATGGTTCCCTGGGTGCCAGCTCAGCCCCTGGACTCTCTGGAAAAGCCTTGGGATGGCTCCCTGGGTGCCAGCTCAGCCCTGAGACTCTGCAAAAGCCTCGACCCCAGAGCCACCGGCAGAAGAGCCGATCGAGATGCCCTCGGCGAGGTTACAACACAATAATTCGACAGACGAGGTCACCTCCAGAAACAGGGCTGCCCATGGCAGAACCCGCTCTTGCTAGCTTATAGCAACTCCCTAAACACACCAGAATTTAACTAAATACATGCGTATTATACATATATTTTTATATATACACACATATATTTGAACTCTTTCAGACTTTAACCAAGATTCACCAGCAGGTTAGCGAAGCCTTCACGCTTTGCTCAGCCAGCGAGCGCTGCCGACGGCGGCACGCTGCCCACCGCGCCCCGACACCTCCTCGGCCCCAGCCCCCCACC